AGAAAAATCCAACTTTTTGCCGCCCAAAGTGAGCTCAGTATAGCAAAACAGTGGGTCCGGAGACTGGCAACGAGTTTACAAGCGATGACGTAGGAAATTGTTCTAGCGATTTGCTTACCCCACTTTGCCTCTGTAGCTATGTGAATTGCCATAGCAGATTTCTTCAAAGTTTGCCATTTTTTTGCAAGCAAAATGTCAGATAGTGATGGATATATGTCCTCTAGTGAAAGTTCCAACGTACAAGAGTCGGAAAGTAGCAATGAAGTGGTCTGAACAATTTCCTACGTCATGGCATTGTAATACATTCGTGTTGGCTGCGCACAAAGTGGAACCACTTTCGGTTGTCAGATTCGAACTTTGAACAGCAAAAAGTCAAATTTTTCTCTTTCTAACATTATTCACTTTTTGCAATTTCAAAAAGTAGACATAAAAAGCGACAGAAAAACGCAAAAAAAAATTCACTTCATAGGCACTTTAAACAAAGTTCTCTAGTAAGTTTTATGCCACAGTAAAACATAGTATTTAAACCTTTCAGTGTGTGTGCCAAGTCCAACCTGTGTTATAATTTGTGGTAGGCTTGTACTTGTACCAACAGTTGAAATGCTATTGTGTGTGGTGGTAAAATAATGCGTTTTCTTTTTTCTGGTGCTTGGTGGTATACTTTAATGTGAATGGAACGAAGGAAAACACCAAATTGTACTAAGGGTAATGTTGAAGCAGTGCATCAGCATGAATTGAGACTTCCTGTAAAAAAATTGCAGTTCATGATACAGGATATACAGGCAGAATTAACAAGATCATATTGCTCAAATTTTAAGATAGCATGTGTTCCAGAAATGCTTATAAATTTACTTTTATTTTGGTAGAAACTGACTTCAAGTATCCAGACCATGATAAGAGGCGTCCAGCAGTTCCCAAACACACAGAGAAACCATTAATGGGATTAAATTCTACCAAGAATCACATCACAACAAATGCAGTGGAGAATATCATGTCTGTGCCGAAGAAACCGGAGAAAAAGTTTGCCGACACTAGAGGGGGAGCCACGCATCCACTGGAGCCTTCAGGGCTGACACCAAAATATGTAAACAAGAAAGATTATGGAAAAACACCTGCCTACCTTGAAAGAAGAAAGGCTGAAGTGGAAAGGGCTCAGATGGAGTACGATGCTTATGTCCAGGAAAGATTTAGACAGGGAGCAATGAAGAACTTGACAGAAGAGCAGAGGTAAGACACTTTTGTTTGTTTGTTTGTGTGTTTTTTTTTGCAGGGTTCCCACGGGTCAGGAAGTGTTCAGGGGGGGACTCTTGTTTAGGGAAGAGTCAGAGAATTTTGTTTTCAGTCTAAATGAATGGGTGGAAAGGACGGCTGCAAAGGGAAGTTAGAAGCTGCTACTGACATTTTGTATTTATTTCATCAGTTAAGTTTTTTTATGAAAAAAAGTTATGAAATATTGAAAAGTGATGTCTGTGGCAACCTTGTTTGATTATCCTGCATTCAGACCAAAGTGGTGTCTACATTAACAGCCTATCCCATATTCCATAGCATGAAGCAACTAAGAGGATTGGGGCTCCTTCCCTCCTGGCAAGTCACTTGTGTTCCTCACAGTATAGGTTTCTCTTGGTGTTATATACTCCTGCACAGAAAGGGTCATTGTCACTCTTTGCAAGGGGTAGAAGCAAAAGTTTGCCCCATCTCTTTTAAAATAACTTTTAACAACATGATTTTGTATATGTTTGTTTGGCTCAAAATTTAGTTTTTGTGTTCCACAGACAAGACATACTTGATGGATTGAAAAAGAATTGGGAAGAGCTTCATCATCAGTACCAAGGACTTTCTGTGGTCACCGATACGGCTCCAAAGAAGGCACGCAAAGAACGCATGGAAGCAGAAATGAAACAGTTAGAAAGAGACATTGAAACAATTGAAAAACACAAAGTTATTTACATTGCAAATCCTTTCTTTTAGGCAGCAGACGATCTTATCGTTGTAATATGCCTCGTCCACTTGAACACAGATTACAGTGGTACTCTTGAACAAATAGATTCCTTTAGCGTTATTGGTGAACTAATATGTTAATTTAGTTAAATCTGCAAGCAATAAGAGAAAACCTGTTTTCAGTAAGATAAAATTGTAAATAATTGTGTACAAAATATTTTATTAAAAATTCTGTCAGTAAAGCATATTGTTTCAAGGTGTATTTTACAGTACAAAGTATGTGCAAACTCAATCTTTCACAACTGGCGCACACAAATTTGTATGGTTTAATTTTATTTCAACGTTAACAGGAACAGTGCTATGGCAATAATTGACTATTATAGTAGGGAAGAAAGCTGCACCAATTTCACATATTATTACCCAATTGTTTGAAGGGGGAATGAAACTATACACTGGATAATTTCTATCCAGTGGATAAGAGTTGGCAAAGCAAACTGTGCTGCAGTGATTTATCCAGTGAATAGTTTTATATATCCCCTGAACAACTTGGGCCAGTAGTTTCTAAAGGTTCAAACCTACCAGTAATATATAGATTTAAGCCAGCCTAAAAGCATAGCTCCAAAGCAGGGTTGTTCAGAGCCTGATTAAGCTAACCCAGGAAAAGGTAGAATTTTGATTTGAGTTTTGTAACTTTGCGGTGAAGTTTTCTGTATATTGTTTAGTCTTCTGTTTTGAGTTTTACTAATCACCATATACACAAAAGGAAGCAGCAAAAAACATTTCTATAGAAGAAAATGTTATAATTCGGTTAACTTTTAATCCTGGGCTAGCGTTAACCGGCTTCCAAATAATCATGCGCTGATTTCAACAAGTTAACCTGACATGAGCCCGCGATCCAATCGAAAATGAGCTGTAGACTTGAGCCTGTGATATGGTCATGTGATACTGGTCAGCAGATACCTTGTTTTGACAGGTGTCATAATATG